CTCCTCCTTTGGCCAGCCTATTACCCCAGCAGGGTACCTGATCATGGACAGGGCGTACGTGTTGATGGCCCGGATCTTGTTCTTACCATTCAGCTGACTCCTCAGGACTTGCCTGACCCTCTGCAGGTACTTGGTGGTTGCAGCTTTTCTAGCGGCCTCTTCATGGTTCCCATTCGCCTGCGGGATCCCCAAGTACTTGTAACTGTCCTCTATGTCTGCAATGTTGCCTTCTGGTAATTCAATCCCCTCAGTTCTGACTACCTTCCCTCTCGTTAATGATCTCACTGAGGGGGTTCAGGCCTATGCAGAACAGCAGTGGGGACAGAGCATCTCCTTGGTAGATCCCGCACTTGATGGTGACTTGTGCTATGGGCTTGGAGTTGGCCTCTAGTGTTGTACGCCACATCCCCATTGAGTTCCTGATGAAGGCTCTTAGGGTCCCATTGATCTTGTACAATTCTAGGCATTCCAGTATCCAGCTGTGGGGCATTGAGTCATAGGCCTTCTTGTAATCAATCCAGGCAGTGCACAGATTGGTCAGTCTGGTCTTGCAGTCTCGTCTGACTGTTCTGTCTACCAGTAGCTGGTGTTTTGCGCCTCTGGTATTCTTGCCAATTCCTTTCTGTGTCCCGCTCATGTATTGACCCATGTGCCTGTTCATCTTAGCCGATATGATGCCTGACAGGAGCTTCCATGTAGTACTGAGGCAGGTTATTGGTCGGTAGTTGGAGGGGACCGGTCCCTTCTTGGGGTCCTTGGGGATCAGGACCGTCCGGCCTTCAGTTAGCCATTCCGGGTGTCTCTCGTTAACTAGCAGCTGGTTCATTTGTGCTGCCAGACGCTCGTGGAGTGCAGTCAGCTTCTTCAGCCAGTAGGCGTGAACCATGTCGGGCCCTGGTGCTGTCCAACTCTTCATACTGGAGACCCTTTCTTGGATATCTGCCACTGTGATGGTTACTGGACCCTGTTCAGGGAGGTCGCTGTGGTCTGCCCTCAGATCCTCTAGCCACTGAGCATTGCCGTTATGGGTTGCATCCTTCTCCCATATGCTCTTCCAGTATTGCTCCGTCTCCAGCCTTGGTGGTGCTGTTCTCTTATTGTTCCCTTGCCACTGAGAGTACACCTTTGCTGGTTCTGTGGAGAACAGCTGGTTTATTCTCCTGCCTTCTATCTCTCTGGTGTACCTCCTCAAGCGGCTGGCCAAGGCTGTGAGTCTTTGCTTGGCAGTTTCCAAGGCCTCAGGTATGGACAGCTTGCTGTATTTCTTAGGCACCTTATTCGTCGCACCTTTCTGCAACTCCGTTAGTTGGCTAACCTCTCTCCGTGCTACTTTGATCTTGCCCTCTAGCCTCCTTCTCCATGGAGGGTACTGCCCCTTGTGGCTGTTCAACTTGACGTATGACCCTGAAGGTAAGTGAGTCATGGACTAAAGTAAAACAGTATGTTGGATGTGCCGTGCAATGCTCAATTACATGGGTGGGAACTAGTGTGTTAGCGCAGTTAGCTCGTTAACGTGTTAGCCGTCTAGCCCCATGCACGGGGCGATCGGCGGTTAGGGATGGGTATCGAAAACCGGTTCTTGTTGAGAACCGGTTCCCACTGTTTCAATTCCTTGGAATCGTTTGCCATTTTTGCAAACGATTCCCTTATCGATTCCAGTCGCCCCGAATGACGTCACCACGTTGCGGAGCGTCATTTACCTGGCAGGAAACATGGCGCCTAAGCGGCTCAAACGCTCAAAAGTTTGATTATACTTTATGAGAACCGATGACAACAGGGCAACTTGCAAAGTAGATATTTCATTTAAGGGAGGAAACACTACGAATATGCAAAAGCATTTGCTCACAAAACACGCGATGACACGCGTTTTTAATTCCGCTCCGGACTCGTGACTCTCAACCCAGCAGCAGCGCTAACGTTTGCACGTCCTCTCCCGTTAATGCGGCAGGTAAATAATCAACTAACAGTGCATATTATGTTAGCGCAATCTGCCTTATTACAAGACCTGCCATTACTGTACATGTAGGTGACCATGATGAGAGAGACAGACAGAGTCTGGCTGGCGCTCGCTGGCAGTTCTCGCTGCAGTCTACCGGTAGCGTCTCCTTTCAGGCCAGGATAGACTAATGTCACCGAGCAGTGTCTAAGTTTGTGGTCAAAGGCTTGCACCCATTTGCCACAGCAGATGCCCCCGATTTTTGGTAAGTGAATGTGTTTAATTGTAGGCAGGGACATTACTGGATATTCTTGTGTAATTGCCACAGAACAATTTATGTTATACTTTGTTATTGCTACAGAAGAATGTTGCAGCTTTAAGGCAGGGATGACTCCTGGAGTTGCTTTCTCACTGCATATGCTTTATTTCACAATCAGATCGATTCGATAACAAAAACATACAACAGCTCCTCTCCTACTCCTAGCCCTTCGCTGCGGTGGAAAAAAGAACGACTTCAATCCCCTTCAAGGAACATACGTACAAAATAGTTTTCCTGATACACCAATGGGGCGTTCAATGCCATCTTGTAAATATGAGTACTCTGGCAGAGTAACAGTTCAAATGAAAAATACACCAGAACAAACAAGCAAACAAAAAAGAAGTGTGGGGTACCTTTGAACCAATGAACAAAGTATAACAATTTATACTTTTTAACATAACCCGACCCCGTCAATATGTGATATGTCTCACAAGAATATTTATTTTATTATTTTACATTTACAATTTTTTTTCCTGGGGACCCTGTGACACCCCATTGAAGAACCGTAGGCTGGATCTCTCAAGATCTCACTGTTGGGTTTGTAAGGCCATGTTACTCCTAAATTTCTATCTTGTTCAAAGAGAAGATATAAAACAAAGCTCTGAGCTAATCGACCTTAGTGTTCTCCTTTTTTAAAAAAAAAAAAGAATCGATAAGAGAATCGATAAAGAATCGAATCGTTAAACAGAATCGAAAATGGAATCGGAATCGTTAAAATCTTATCAATACCCATCCCTATCAGCGGTAGCTCGTTAACGGAGATTTGCCGTGTTGTGGTGTTAGGGTCATTTCAACGAGATTAACCTGAAAGCACTAGTGGGAACACAACGAATATGACTGCACATTTACGCCGACATCATCCTAGTGCAAAGACAAAAACAACAAGCATGCTACTAACGTTAGCCGAGTCATTTAGACAGCTGTTAGCACATGATTCTCCTTATGCTGCTGAGAATATAGCCCAGAAGAAGCGGATAGTATAGCTTTTATTTTGGAAAGAGACATTTCTCTGTAATAAACTCTCTTTTCCAAAGATGAGTGATTCCTCAATCAGATACAGGGCTTGCAATATCGCTAGCCTGACGTCCTGGGGCTAGCGATTTTTTCAGTCGGGCTACCCTGCCCGTCGGGGCTATTGTAGGAAGGAAAAATATATGTCAATGCTTTTGCATTCTTTCAGAAATGTAGCTGGGTAATTATGTCATTGGCATCGGTGAGCCACTGTCAATATGTGACATATTGAAATCGCGTTTGAATTTGCGCTTGTTTTTTTGCTTTGACTTTGCAATCGTGCGAACTGTGTATAGAGAGCGACAGCACTGATCTGTGAGTGATAATTTGTGCACCAATTCCTCTGACATCGTCTTATTAATCGTTAGCTTACTATGCAAACATGACAAGTGAAATCTCCCGCAGCAAGCTAAACATGTGAGAGGTTGATCGCGCAGAGAATCGCTGAGAATCGCTGAGCTTATGTGAGTGCGTGTGTAAAAGCATTTCAGTTCTGCTGAGCCAAACAAGACAGGTCAGGGTGAAGAAGTGACAGCCAAAGAAAAGCTTACCACAAAACGGAGAAGTTATGACAAATCAGACTATAAGGCAAAAAGAAAGTGCAGCTTTATGGTTTCATGGACAAAATAATTTCTGTGGCTGCAATATGACGAGCTAAATAACCAGGGCTGCACATAAGTGGTCCGCAGGTGCGCATTCGCTGTCAAAATAAAAAACACGCACAAGGGTTAGGGTTAAATTTAAAAACTGTACTTTTGAGTTAAAATATATATTTATAATTTTAATAAATGACAAATTAAAAAGGCATGAACATTTTTTTGTATCGAAAAAATATCGAACCGTGACACCAAAGTATCGAACCGAACCGAACCGTGAATTTTATGTATCGTTGCACCCCTAATATATATATATATATATATATATATATATATATATATGTGTGTATGTGTGTGTGTGTGTGTATTATATTATTCTTCATTCTATATAAAATGGATTACACTAATCATCTTGTTTCCTGTTTTAAATTCAGAGGGTCTTCAAAACTGTCAGTTTAAACTCAAATCTAACCTGAAGGAGAGGTTCCAGTGTGTGTTTGAGGGGGTTGCTAAAGCAGGAAACCCAACGCTTCTGAATCAGATCCACACAGAGCTCTACATCACAGAGGGAGAGACTGCAGAGATCAATGATGAACATGAGGCCAGAATGATTGAAACTGTGTTCAAGAAACCTGCCAGACCAGAAACAACAATCAGGCAAGAAGACATCTTTAAAGCATCACCTGGAAGACATGAACCAATCAGAACAGTGCTGACAAAGGGAGTGACTGGTATTGGGAAAACAATCTTAATACAAAAGTTCACTCTGGACTGGGCTGAAGACAAAGTCAACCAGGACATCCAGTTCATATTTCCATTCACTTTCAGAGAGCTGAATGTGCTGAAGGAGGAAAAGTTCAGCTTGGTGGAACTTGTTCATCACTTCTTTACTGAAACCAAAAAAGCAGGAATTTGCAGCTTTGAAGACTTCCAAGTTGTGTTCATCTTTGATGGTCTAGATGAGTCTCGAATTCCTCTGGACTTCCACAAAACTACAATCCTAACTGACCCTAGAAAGTCCACCTCAGTGAATGTGCTGCTGACAAACCTCATCAGGGGGTACCTGCTTCCCTCTGCTCGCATCTGGATAACCACACGACCTGCAGCAGCCAATCAGATCCCTCCACAATGTGTTAATATGGTGACAGAGATTAGAGGGTACACTGATCCACAGATGGAGGAGTACTTTAGGAAGAGATCCAGAGATGAGGAGCAGGCCAGCAGGATCATCTCCCACATCAAGACATCACGAAGCCTCCACATCATGTGCCACATCCCAGTCTTCTGCTGGATCACTGCTACAGTTCTGGAGGATGTGCTGCAAACCAGAGAGAAAGGAACACTGCCCAAGACCCTGACTGAGATGTACATCCACTTCCTGGTGGTTCAGGCCAAAATAAGGAAGGTCAAGTATGATGGAGGAGCTGAGACAGATCCACACTGGACTCCAGAGAGCAGGAGGACGGTTGAGTCTTTGGGAAAACTGGCTTTTGATCAGCTGCAGAAAGGAAACCTGATCTTCTATGAATCAGACCTGACAGAGTGTGGCATCGATATCAGAGCAGCCTCAGTGTACTCAGGAGTGCTCACACAGATCTTTAAAGAAGAGAGAGGACTGTACCAGGACAAGGTGTTCTGCTTCATCCATCTGAGTGTTCAGGAGTTTCTGGCTGCTCTTCATGTCCACATGACCTTCATCAACTCTGCAGTCAATCTGCTGGAAGAACAACAGACATCGTCCTGGTGGTCAAAAATTTTTAATGCACCAAAACTACAGTATGTCCACCAGAGTGCTGTGGACAAGGCTTTACAGAGTCCAAATGGACACCTGGACTTGTTCCTGCGCTTCCTCCTGGGTCTTTCAATGCAGCCCAATCAGATTCTCCTACGAAATTTTTTGCCAGACACACTAAGTAGCTCACAGACTATTCAGGAAACAGTCCAGTACATTAAGAAGAAACTCAGTATGAATCTGTCTGCAGAGAAAAGCATCAATCTGTTCCACTGTCTGAATGAACTGAATGATCGTTCTCTAGTAGAGGAGATCCAACAGTCACTGACTTCAGGAAGTTTCTCCACAGATGAGCTGTCTCCTGCTCAGTGGTCAGCTCTGGTCTTCATCTTACTCTCATCAGAAAAAGATCTGGATGTATTTGACCTGAAGAAATACTCAGCTTCAGAGGAGGCTCTTCGGAGGCTACTGCCAGTGGTCAAAGCCTCCAACAAAGCTGTGTAAGTACATTTGTACTGATCCCTCTACTTTTATCATGCAGTTGAGTCTGTAATTTATTTAATCAGACTTTCCATCTTTGTAAGAATTTGTGTCCCAAAGCATGGCAATTACTCTAAAACAACTGTAACCTTTTTAATGTCTCATAAACTCAATGTTCTTGTGATGCAACATCCAAAAACTATGGCAGTATCATTATTAGTGCTGCTGCTGTGTTACTGGTCTTTTAAAAAAAACCAAACAATCAAACTTTACTTTCCATGTGTTCATGCACCAGTTTTGCATTTAATCATTAGTTTTTACTACACTGTGCCTTGGGCTTCAGTGTTTGTTTACTATTCTTGACCTGAGCTCTCCCCTCACCCCAAACTGTTAACAGCAGATGGTTGTACCTCCTGAGCCTCATTCTCCTGGAGTTTTTCCTTCACACTGTTGCCAAGTGGGAGTTGTCAAATTGTTGGTGCAGACTTTGGTGCATATCAAACAAGCAGTTCTAGCTCCTTCCGTCTTAAGCATACTTTCCCTGGTTGTCTCTTCTATGGCTGCCATAAAATTTCCTCCAGATTATAATCCGCCCACAAAAATCAAAAATACAAAAACAACTCAGACTTCATGCCATTTATTGCCAACATGGTGTCCTTTTTGCCAGCCTTTGATGATAAACTGCACCACTATCCATAATAAGCTTTTCCATTGCTTTTAATGATTTTAGACTTTACACATGTACATTGTCTTTCTTTTTATTGTGGGCACACAGATAACAGCTCTTCTTTTGTTACAACTGAATTGAAAACACAACTCAGATCAGGGAAAATCTCCTAATTTGGATGATTTTCCAGGTGGTATCTGGGATCAAAAGTTGAAATCAGCTTGGATAGCCTGTACAATGAGTACAGTGGCTCACTCCTTGGGCAAGAAGACCATTCAGTCTAAATGCTTTTTTCCCCTTTCGTGGCTGCTGATGAGGTTGTTTTTGGATTGGCTCATAGCCATTCTCATCGTCTTCAAATTAACTGACAAACTGCTGACTGCTGCTATAGTTTACTGAGTATGTGACTCATGTACTAAAGGTTAGAGTTGTGACTCCAGTGCTTGAGTTTGAGTCTGCCCAAGACATTTCCTTTGTGTCCATCTCCTCACTTCTCCCTCCTTTTCTGACTTCCATACTTTACACAGTGAAGTCAAAGTGCCTAGTGTTCTGAGAAATCTTCACCTCCTGCATCTCCCAAATCTTCTCTGTCATATGAAATCAACAATATTCTCTGAGTATAGAATCTTTTCACGATCTTGAATGATAAGGATCCACATGGGCACAGTTATTTCTTTCTTTTCTATTTAAAGAGCAATGACATTGTCTAGCCAGATGCTCTTAGTACAACCGAGGTCTCGATTGAAGCGTAGAGGAGATCAGGCCTTTGCAGTTGCAGTGCCTAGACTCTGGACTAACTTGACAGATGATATTCGTACTTCAGAGTCTAGTCAGTCTTTAGAAGCATGCCTTAAAACTCATTTTTTTTATGTTGGTTTTTAATTCGAGTTCAGTTTGAGTACCATCAGGCCTTTTTTTCTGTTTGCTATTTTTGTCTTGTTTTTATGTTGTATACATTGTCATTGCCTCATCTCGTTTATCTGTATTTGTTTTTCTATTGTTTTCTCATGTTCTGAACTAATTGCGAAGCACTTTGGTCAACTCTGTTGCTTTTAAAAGTGCTATAGAAATCGATTTGATTTGATTTGAAGGGTTCCACCTGTGATTTGTAGCTGGAATAGAGTGTGGAAAAACTTTAGTTTAGAGGAAAAACTTGAATGAGGTACATGTTTCTTGATATCAGAGTAACTCATCCACAAGGTGTAGAAAGAGCAGCAGTAGGGTAGAACAATATGTCCAAAAATATTTATATATTTGAAAATTTGCGGTAACGATATAACTGACAATATAATTGACGCGAGACAAAATACTTAACAACTCTACAACTTTATTAGTGCAAAAAAAAAAACCCCGAACAATGTATTTTAACTTAAACAAGCAGCTGTTTTTTTTATGTGCATTAAAGCTATATAAAAATGTTACAGTGCAAATGCAAATTCCATGCTGACAGTTAAACCAAAGGGCATTTTCAGTAGAAATGGGCCGACATATCCTAAGCATAACCATGTATAATGTCCACAAAACTTAAAAAGAGGTTATACACACACAATACTAATATTATGTTGAATCACAGTAGGTATTACTCCATAAGGCACGTGACTATGGTAGCCGTAATGCTCCGACAATCAATCAAGCGGTGCGGCTTCATAGCTTAACAAAGTAGTATTAAAATCAGTGCTCTCAGCAATCTCGTTAAAATGACATGGCAAATCACCGTTAGCAAGTTAACGCGGATCGCCCCGTGTGTGGGGCTGGACGGCGCTAACGCTTTGACCTTGTGCAGCCCCAGGTTTTTCAGCCCGCTTGCATGTTCTACCAAAAATTGGTGGGTATCTGACAGACAAAAACCTCACCAGTTCCACACTACTGAAGTTGGCCCCGTTTTTACAAACCAATTTTGGTTCATCTGTTTTATTCAACGATCTGCTTTCGCCCTTCTCATTCTCCGTCACTGCCATACTTTTTCTGACATGTGCGTATGAAAACAAATGCACTGCACATGCACATTTTACTTATATTCTATCGCAATATTTCATTTTCTTATCATTGCCTAACATTATACCAGTATTATCGTGAACGGTATGATATTGCCCAGCCCTAAGCAGCAGAAGAGTACAAATCATGTCTTACCAAAAAGCCACAACAACTAGAATTTACCTACCTTTGGTATTTCCTGACAGCATAATATTTACTGAAAAGATGTCTTCTCTCATCTTTGTTGCTATGAATGTTCCTGTTTCGGCTGTCCACTTGGCTCTAAATTGTACAAATAGATCTGAGAAGATTACGTTTCTAATCACAAATCAGAAATTATGTTTTTATTAGATTTGCAGTTTGTATTCATGTCTTCTGAATCAGAAGGTGGGGGAAGTGGACCTTACAAGGACTAAGTGCTGATCTAGAAGGGCAATTGTGTTTTAATGAAGTTATTTTGTTAACCATTAATTGTGTTGCATGTTGGCATTTTTACATTTTTTCACAAATTTTGTTTTATTTATTGATTTCATTAGTTTGTTTGTTTGTTTTTTCAGACTGAGTCACTGTAACCTCTCAGAGAGAAGCTGTGGTGCGCTGTCCTCATTTCTCAACTCCCAGTCCTGTAGTCTCAGAGAGCTGGACCTGAGTAACAATGATCTACATGATTTAGGAGTGACAATTCTGTCTGCTGCTCTACTGAGTCCATACTGTACACTGGAAACTCTCAGGTCAGCAGTTACTGTAATTAAATTACTTTTCCACTGAAAAAGTAGAGCAATTAATTACTGTTCATTTTAAGGTATTTTAAATACAGTTACTTACAATGTACTTGTGTTACACTGTAAAATAATTAAACTCACTGAAAATCATTATTTAATTTCAATAATTTGTCTTCTAAAGGTAAAAATAAACTCTGCCGCTTTAACATCGCTGTAGTGCAGCTGCACGTCATTTCGCGCCAGTTTGCCGCATAGTCGTATTCTACAGCCGAAGATGTCGGACTCGGCTGAAGCGAGGGCCTGTTTTATGAAATGGAAATATTCCCGTCACTTTACTTTTCTACATACAGTACATACAGCATGCAGGAAATATGGTGCTCATTGGTTTGAGGAAGTTTCAGAGGAATTCTGTTTGTTAACCAAAGTTCAGAATTAACTTCACTTTGTTGAATCACATGACATGATTACATACATTATGTATGAATATGTTACTCATTGCTTTAAAAATGTAAAAATTTTAATGTTTACTGCGTGAAATATGTCATGTATAACATTTCTTAAGTTAAGCTTTTTTGTTATTCAGATATGTTGCAGAAAAATATATTTGTTATTCTGGAATTGTGTTTCTTAGCTAAAGAAAGTTACATTCCTTACTAAAAAATGTTAAAGAATGTTTTTTTTATAGAATGTAATAAAGATGATTCAGGAAGCAAAAAGGCTAAACTATTTCATGTTGACTCGTATTTCTTTTTAAAATTATTTATTATTTAAAGAGTTTAATTTCTATTGTTTGTCCACTCAAGGTTTATGGGGATTTTAATAAGTATTTAGTTAAATTACTTATTGAGTAATTAAGTTACTTTTCAGGCACAGTAATTAGATAAGTATTTTAAATACAATATTGATTAAGTAATTAGTAATAGTAATTAATTACTTTTTTAAAGTAACTTACCCAACACTGCACGTCAGGAGTGAAATATTTCACTGCTGATCATTTACAGTCTGAATGATTTGCATCTATAAACAACTATGCTTTATAGCCTTGTCAAGTGGCCTTTTATTTAGGACTCTGATTTTGGGTAGCAGAATAAGTGAGATATCATTTTGGTTTCTGAGATATAGTGATGTTGTTTTCTTAACTAATTTATTTAATTTAAAATTGTGTGTTAGAGTTATTTATATTTCATTTAAGGTATTTTCTTAAGAAGTCTGACACATAACAAAGATGTTTCGGTGATGCAAAAACACCTTAGTAGGATTAACTGCTGAAAGGTATAATTCTACATGTGGAGACACTGGTATTAATTTCAGTAACATTAGTATCATTTTTGTGATGTCTGAACTGTTATTTTATGTATGGCAAGTCACTAAATTTCAAAACCCAGGCCTCGCGCTCAGTCCTGCATTACCCATGTGATCTTGTGTGAATACCAGCTGGACTGGTCGGGTGCAACAATAGCTGCAGTCATTTAAATAATCTCTGACAGTGGAAAATATTGTATCTTTTGCTTGCTGCGGGCGTGATAGTTGCTACTAGGAGAGATTTTTTTCAGGAGCGGAGATGTTACCAAAACAAGTTTAAAAAATTAAAGTGTTACTGTTTTACATTGTCTGAATGTGCTATTAAAATGTACAAATGGATCTGAGAAGATTGCATTTCCAGTCACAAGTCAGAGATTATGTCTTTAGTAGTTTTACAGGATTTTTACGTATTTTCAAATTTTTGTTTTATTTGACTGATTTCATTTGTTTGTGTGTTTCTTTCAGGCTGACTCACTGTAACCTCTCAGAGAGAAGCTGCGGTGCCCTGTCTTCAGTTCTGAACTGCCAGTCCTCTAGTCTGAGAGAGCTGGACCTGAGTAACAATGATCTACAGGATTTAGGAGTCAAGCTTCTGTCTGCTGCACTACAGAGTCCACATTGTACACTGGAAACTCTCAGGTCAGGAGTGAAATATTTCACCGCTGATCATTTCAGTTCTGAATGGTATTATTTGATAAACAACTAAGCGTTTTAAAATTGTCAAGTGACCTTTAATTTAACTTTGGATAGATTATTAAATAAATTAAATAAATACAATTTTATTTATATAGCACCTTTCTAGGCAGAATCACAAAGTAATTGTTTTTAAAAATAACTGCTAAGCCCACAGTTCTTAAGGTTTGGGGGAGAGAGTTCCACAGTCTAGGGGCCACAGTGGCAAAAACTCTGTCCCCCTTAGTTCTCATCTTAGTATGTTTTAAAGCAAGTAAGCCCTGATCAGACGACCTCAGGGATCTCCTAGGGCAGTGGTTCCCAAACTTTTTTTGCTGGGCCCCCTTTGTTCTACAAAAAAATAGTTTGCGCGCCCCCCCCCCCCACACACACACACATCCTCCAACCACACACACCCATATTTTGCTCCATTGCGGTTTATTTGACACCTCAAACATTTTGTAAACAATTAATCAAATACAAGTAATCTGCAATAAATTACAGGTAGTAATAAAATAAACTCTTTTACACACCTACACAGGTATTTGTGAAAACGCAGCTGTTTCGTCCACACGCAAACGGCATTTCGAATCACAGAAAATGGAGATTTTTAAAGCTCCTTTGTTGCGTTTACGTGTGGACAAGGAATACAGAGTTTGTCACGCAGTATCAAAGGTATGTGCGTTTTTCACGTCACGCTGTGCGCACGTTATTGTTTACATGAGATGAATTGCAGAATGGCAGATAGAGACAAAATACTGTTAATCTGACTATCTGCAGGTTTTACACGCTTACTTATACACACGCAGTTACTGTCCCTCCATTTACAAAGGCAGAGGTGTCACGGTGTAATTGTTTTACATGTATTTGTTTTTTTTTCCTGTGTAATAATATTCAACATTGCTATCAATACATTTTTCAAAAATGTCTCTCTGTGCAAAATGGGTTTAAAAACATAAACAGCTGTGGGATTTGAACCGAGGAAAGAAATCGTGGCAGGATCAGCCTGATATTATTTGTATCCCGCTGTAACTTTACTGTATAAAGTATAGTATAGTATGTATATGTCAGGAGTAGTTAGTCATTACAAGAAGTGTTTGTGAACTAAAAATCACAAATGTGGGATACTGTTTGTCCGTGATTTAAACAGCCCATCGCTGCTCCCAATGAAGAGAAAACCAATTCTGCAGGGGAGACCTACCTTGGCACTTGTGCAGGTGAAGCCAAAGGGAAGATATGCTTCACCATATTTTCTAGTCTTTGGCTTAGAATGAAGTTGGTTTGGAAACATATTCAGCGATGCTTCATCTCCTGCTTTGTGTTTCTGTAGGCGCCCGTGCTAGCAGTGTCCAAGCGTCTTGTTTTTTTTCCCCCCCTTTTCAACCCACGCCCCCCTGCCATGGCTCTGCGCCCCCCCCCCCCCCCCCCCCCGGGGGCGGGCCCCACACTTTGGGAAGGTCTGTCCTAGGGAGATAGAACTGTAGCAGATCAGAGATGTAGGATGGTGCCAGTCAATGCGAAGCTATAAAAGTCAAGATCAGGATCTTAAAATGGACTCTAAATTCCACAGGAAGCCAGTGTAGCTGAGATAGCAACGGTGTCACATGTGAATACTTAAAAGATTTTGTCAGAAGCCTAGCTGCAGTGTTTTGCACAACCCGCCAACAATCCAGAGAACCTTTGCTTAGATACATAAACATAACAGTGAGTTACAATAGTCCAAGCGTGAGGAAATAAATACATGTATAACATCTCCAAGTCAGAGCGATATAAAATAGGGCTTAACTTAGCCACATCTCATAAATGACAAAAACACAAGACCGAACCAGAGACTTCACACGACCATCCAGTGTAAGAGTCGAGTCCAAAGTGACACATAAATTCCTGATATAGGATTTAACCTAAAATAGGAGAGAGGACCAAGGGCTTTCACTATCTGGGATAAAATTCTGTCATGAGCGCATACAAGGGCTGTGTCCCAAATCAGGGTCTGCATGCTTGAAGTACGCATTTTAAGCGCGATTACGTCACCGCCACGCGACGACGGCTGTCCCAATTCAAAGTGTACTTCAAATGCGTACTCCAAATGCGCCGTCGATTTCCCCAAATATCAAGCGTGGTCCTAACCCTTGTGCGTGTTTTTTACTTTGACAGTGAATGCGCACCTGCGGACCACTTATGTGCACCCCTGGTTATTTAACTCATCATATCGCAGCCACAGAAATTCTTTTGTCCATGAACCCATAAAGCTGCACTTTCTTTTTGCCTTATAGTCTGATTTGTCATAACTTTTCTGTTTTGCGGTAAACTTTTCTTTGGCTGTCACTTCTTCACCCTGACCTGTCTTATTTGGCTCAGCAGCACTGAAATATATATCCTGCTGCTTTTACACACGCACTCACATAAGCTCAGCGATTCTCTGTGCGATCAACCTCTCACATGTTTAAGCTTACTGCGGGAGATTTCACTTGTCATGTTTGCGTAGTAAGCTAAAGATTAATAAGACAATGTCAGAGGAATTGGTGCACAAATTATCATCACTCACCAAACAGTACTGTCGCTCTCTATACACAGTTCACGCGATTGCAAAGTGAAAGCAAAAAAACAAGCGCAAATTCAAACGCGATTTCAATATGTCACATATTGACAGTGGCTCACCGATGCCAATGACATAATTACCCAGCTACATTTCTGAAAGAATGCAAAAGCATTGACATATATTTTTCCTTCCTACAATAGCCGGACGGGCAGGGCAGAGATAGATTTTGGTAGCCCGACTGGAAAAATCGCTAGCCCCAGGACGTCGGGCTAGCGATTTTGCGAGCCCTGTATCTGATTGAGGAATCACTCATCTTTGGAAAAGAGAATTTATTACAGAGAAATGGCTCTTTCCAAAATAAAAGCTATACTATCCGCTTCTTCTGGGCTATATTCTCAGCAGCACATTAAACATATCAGGTCCACATAAGGAGAATCATGTGCTAACGGCTGTCTAAATGACTCGGGTAAAGTTTGTAGCATGCATGCTTGTTGGTTTTGTCTTTGCACTAGGATGATGTCGGCGTAAATGTGCAGTCATATTCGTTGTGTTCCCACTAGTGCTTTCAGGTTAACCTCGTTAAAATGACCTTAACGCCATTACACGGCAAATCTCCGTTAACGAGTTACCGCCGATCGCCCCGTGCATGGGGCTAGACGGCCAACACGTTAACGAGCTAACTGCGCTAACACACTAGTTCCCACCCATGTAATTGAGCATTGCATGGCACATCCAACATACTGTTTTACTTTAGTCCATGACTCGCTTACCTTCAGGGTCATACTTCACATGAAAACCAAAATAATTCCAAACGCCAGATCTGAATGAGGGTGGGGGAGGTCCATGTTGCAAGGAGAGCTTAACTTCTGTCTCGCTAGCTTGCCCTGCTCTCTTCCTTCTGACGATGCTGTCTGTGTTGAGCGCTCAGTGGATCTGCGCTCGACAGTGCAGCCTAGGCGGAGTAGTCGAACGCAGATTCACTGAGCGCTCAACACAGACAGCATCGTCAGAAGGAAAGTTGATAAAATAAATTACAAATTTTGTTTTGTTCGATACATATGCGTACCGAACCGAAAGCACTGTATCGAACGGTTCAATATCGATACGAATATTGTTGCACCCCTAATATATATATATATATATATGTATATATAATATTCTGACAATACTATAATATTGGCCATATTATATTTACATTACCACAGTGAGAGGATTTTAGTCTCATGAACAACATTAGCTAATTGTTATTTACTAACTAATCTTAAATGACTGTTCAGTACAGAAGTGAAGCCCAACAATCATGTTTTACAGTCCCGTGGTCTCAGCCTCAGATACTCAACTAATCAGAGTGATGTCATGACAAAAACGAATGACCAACAAAACTTTTTTTCTTCCTTCATTTATGTCACACAATGCTGTATGTAACGTTTCTCGTGGTCAGTGTCATGGTTGCTAGGCAACCTGAACAGCGCCACGAAGGCTAGAACGTCCCATTTCACAAGCCTCTCACTTCCACACTTCTCGTACTTATAGTACGCACCGTACGTAGTACACGTAGTACGCGTAGTACGCGTAGTACGCGTAGTGCGCGTACTTCAAGCGTGCAGACCCTGAATTGGGACACAGCCAAGGACTTCAGTTTTCCCCTCATTAAGCTGGTGTAAATTTGCAGCCATCCATCTATTAGGTTCTAAGTACTGTGAGAAGAATTTTTACAGTCAATTTTTTGTTTAATTAGTAACAGAAAAGTACGGTACGGGTTATGTTTCTTGTGGCATGTTTTGTTTAATCAGGCCATTTGTTCTACAGCAATCAATGTGGTAGTTGAGTTTGTGCTGATGTACCTGAATTAATTTAGCCAACAAAAGGCCTGTTCCTCTCAGTTGTTCTGCTCACGCGTCACTGATTCAAAACAGATTCAGACAACAGCGATGTGGATTCTGATGGTGCTGTTGAGAGTGAGGACAGCCAGGCAATTAGAGATGGGCGACCGTGGCTCAGGGGGTTGGGAATCACATCTGTAACCGGAAGGTCGCCGGTTCGATCCCCGGGCTCTCTGTCCTGGTCGTTGTGTCCTTGGGCAAGACACTTTACCCTACTTGCCTACTGGTGTTGGCCAGAGGGGCCGATGGCGCGATATGGCAGCCTCGCTTCTGTCAGTCTGCCCCAGGGCAGCTGTGGCTACAACTGTAGCTGCCTCCACCAGTGTGTGAATGTGAGAGTGACTGAATAGTGGCATTGTAAAGCGCTTTGGGTGCCTTGAAAAGCGCTATATAAATCCAATCCATTATTATTATTATTATTATGGGTTGGAAGGCCAGAACTATATTCAATTTCCGAGTATCCACCGAAAAAAACAACTTCTCATTTCTCACGCACAGAGTAAAAAAAAAGACAGTGTTTCATAAATGGCAGGTTTTAGTTTAGAGTTTTAATATCAGTTCCACAAATTCGTAATTCAGCTTTTGCTACAATCCAAATATTGAATTTGAGGAGTTTGTTGCTCAAGAAAAATAAACAGTTTTGCTCATGAACAAGTTTGTTCATGAAGGTAAAAAATATATAAATTAAAATACACAAGATACAATAACAACAATGCCAAGTTATAGTATTTCTAAAACTTATTTAACTTTAATATTTAAACTTTGAAGTTTAAAGTTCAATTAATATTTAACTTGTGTCCCCTCTCTCCTTCATTTGTGTTTTGTTCTTGTCTCTCTGCTTATTTCTTCTATTTACCATAATCCCTTAAACCTCTTCCTGAAGCCTGTTGTTATTGGAAGGATCTTTATTTATAAGGGAGTTCTTCCTTTCCACAGTTACCAAGTGCTGCTCAAAGCAGATTGTCTGAGAGTTTGGGCTTTCTCTCTAATAATTTAGCGGGTTGGCTCATAGTGTAAAAAAACTTGACATGACAATGACTGTCTGTTTAAAATTGTCCTTTTTAAATAAAATAAAATAAAATAGAATGGATAGAATTGGATAGACATTATTGTATGACAAACACAAAATCATTGTTCAGAGGTGGATTGTTGTTTTGTGTGTCTGCAGTCTGTCAGGCTGTCTGATCACAGAGGAAGGCTGTACGTCACTGGCCTCAGCTCTGAGCTCCAACCCCTTCCAAATTAGAAAACTGGACCTGGGCTACAATCATTCAGGTGACTCAGGAATGAAGCTGCTTTTGGCTGGACTGAAGGATCCATGCTGGAGACTGGACACTCTTAGGTATGGAGAGAATATCTGATAGAGGAGGAAGACTTAGAAACATTCCCTGTCTCTTTCACACACTTCCTCTTTGTTTCATGCAGATGTTTTAAATTTAATTTATATTAAACATATTTTAAAAGAGAGAGAAAGAAAGAAATGAATTCAAAAATCCAGGATTTCTTTCTGGTATTTGAAAAGGCAATTCCACTCCTCATTTGAAAATCCATTTCCCTTTCCTGTCAGCTCACAGATTAGCTAATATATTAGTATATTATATTAGGTATCGGATTAGCTCTGGAATTAACTATTGGATCAGCTATCAGATTGGTTATTGGATTATCTCATTTCCAAAACCCTGAAGCAATGCAAACTAGCCACGCAGCGTGATTTAAGGTACTCACAGGCACAGGCTGGTTGCCTGGATTTTTATACACTGCTATTTGTACTCATAGCTTTGCAATGCTAGAAAGTGTGTGTGCTTGCAAAAAGGCCATTCAGCCTTCAGATGTACTCTCTGCCCGACATGGATATGTGAAGAATGAAGGGACTCTACAGTAAAATGGAGAGCTGAACCTCCTAATGTACGCCTTTAGACTCAGCCTGACCAGGTGTTAAAGGTAACGTGCTAACATGGCTAATGCTAGTGTCACAGCACATAGACCCACTCTTTTAAGATCATGCTGCTGTGCTCTTCACAAACAAAGCTTAAAGCAGCTCAGACTATTAGAACCAGCACTGAGCCCTGTTACATTTATACAGTGTTAGATCGAAGGGTGCAACCTACCGCCTTTAAACTAGTGGTTAAAATGCTGTCTGTAAACACATCAGTCCACATGTTACCACATTACTTTATGATACTTAGAATTAAAAGAACTGAGACAGGCTGATATAAATAATAGCTGTCAGTTCTCTCCCTCCTTATATTATCTCCAGTCTTAGCAGATATTATTGACTTTATTTATTTTAATATGTGAGTGCACACATTTATTCTGAACTGGACATAAATGATGATCACAGAGTGTGTAATATTAATTTTTATATAATATTACATACATATTTATTAATGTAATTTAATCAAAATCCAAACACAGTGTGCTGAATCTTAACATTGAATGTCTAGTATATTCCAAAGAGCATAATTTAAGCATTCACTGCACCTACAGTACCTACACCTAGTCAAGTGTGGTAAAGATACAGATAATGAAATTTAATTATTACTGAAATATGCATAATGAAAAACAAAACTGGGCAGCACAGTGGTTAGCACTGTTAACTCACCGTGACAAGGTCCTGAGTTCAATTCCACCATCAGGCTGAGGTCTTTCGATGTGGAATGATTCTATGTGTGTCTGTGTCTATGTGTTTGGCCTGCAAAAGACTGGCGACCTGTCCAGGGTGTACCCTGCCTCTCGCCCTAAGACAGCTTGGATAGGCTCCTGCGACCCTGAAAAGGATAAGCGGAAGAAAATTGATTTATGGATGGAAAAACAAAAGCTGAAACTGATTCACTTTAGTACTATGCTCCGTGCTTATAAAGACCCTTGATGCTGTGATATATACTGTAAATCATATGGAAATAATTTTCACAGACCTCATAAAGTAAGTAAGTTACTGCTGATTTTTGGTTGATGTTTATATTTTCAGGTGTTTTTGTGTGTGCATGGTTTTTTTTTTTTTATGACAACAATTGGAATTCCTCTGGGAGATGAGGACACACCCACATCTGTTCCATATCATAGTCATTTAGGATGTTATAGCTCTGAGTCTGTTTTGTGGCATCAGACACCCACACAGGAAAACCAGCACCTGGACTTTATGCAGGAGAGACTGCATCAGTGATGGTTGACTCTGCATCTTCTGCATCCTCTTCTGCATGTCCTTTAACTCACAGTTCAAATCACTTCAAAAGAGTTGTGTATATTTACCTAGAAGGACATCTGTAACTTGTACAGATTAGTAGTTTTGCTTGTTTTATGAGTTACATTTAAAAAGAGAGAGGGAGGATATGAAACTTATCATTCCCCTGCAGAACACAATCTTAAGTGCTTATTCTTTTGATCTTATGAATTCCACTCTGATGTGAATTCACTTTTTGTCTGATGATTGGCACAAAGTTTAAACTGGTTTTCTTCTGAGAGATGCTGCTGAGGCTGAAAATGAGCCAATTGAAACAATAACTGAAAAAAAAATCTATACATAAAAAAATCTCTTAATTCCTGAATTACAGGCAAAGACATGCCCAAAAGTTTAGTTTCTCCGGATGTTTTATCACTCATCTAAGTGACTTCTTCTGTTATACAGATAAGTAATGGAATGTTTCTTGGAAGGAAAACTGATGTGTACAGTTGAATTCAATCTACTTTTTTAAGGTTTTTAAAGTTAAGAGAGTAGTTAACGCTCCATCACCTACATCGTAGTTCTTTGGGCTGGGGTTAGGCGACGAGAAAAAAAAGCCACATGGCTGAAGCTTTGCTTGGCGACCTGAACGCTGGGAAAGTCATACAATCTTGTGGGTTGGTAGCGAGACAGCCTTTTGTTTGCTGAACACCTCCTGTAGGTCACGGTCCTCTAATGGGATGGAGGTAAGAGCTAGAGCCATTCTATATGAGAGTTAACCAGTGGAAACCGAGAATAAGTTGGGAAAATTGAATGGGGAAAAAGGTAAGTGACTCTCCTGGCTGTTCATTATTATTATTATTATTATTATTATTATTATTATTATTATTATTACAGGATCTAACTAGCATGACAGTTTCAGTTTGATGAGTGATGTGGGCAAACACTTGATTATTTATTTTGATTGTGATTAATAGCTTTGGGTAGTATGGGAAGTTCGAGTGCTAGGAGAGGAGTGTGCAACTGTTTAGCTAACTCTCAATCAACAAGTCTCTGCCCGACACCGAAATCAGCGAGAGCCTGAAGGGGTTGGAGTAGCCTGGTAAGCCTGCAAAAACACAGGGAGCAGTAGCCAGGGTTTAATATTAGTAACTGATCTGCCCACCTGTATCCCAGAACATACCTGCAGGTGGAGCTTTTTAACCATTTGGGGCAGGATACTAGAAAGTGATCAGGCAAACCACCTTACAGGTTGGCTGTAGCTCAGGTGGCAGAGCAGGTCAGCCACTAATCAGAAGGTCGGTGGTTCGATCCCAGTGATGGTTCACTCTGCATCCTCTTGCATGCAGGCAGGCTGCCTCCTGGCTGGTTTCCAAATATCCTTGGGCAAGATATTTGCCATACAGGTGACCCAGGAGTTCTTTTTTTTTTTTCTCTCTCTTCCCCCCCTTCTCACCGTCTCTTCTCCCCTTTGGTTTTCTTTCTTTCTCTCCCCCTCTTTCTCTCATTCATTCCCCCTGTCCTATTTATTAAAAAAAAAAAAAAAAAAAAAAAAAAACTTCAACTGCAAAAAAAAAAAAAAAAAAAAAAAAAGATAGTAACCCCATGTTTGCCCACTGGTGGTGGTCAGAGGGCCCGGTGGCGCCAGTGTCCGGCAGCCTCGCCTCTGTCAGTGCGCCCCAGGGCAGCTGTGGCTACAATGTACAATGTAGCTTGCCATTGCCAGTGTGTGAATGACTGAATGTAGTGTAAAGCACTTTGGGGTCCTTAGGGACTGAATAAAGCACTATACAAATGCAGGCCATTTTTTTTACCATTAAAAATAGTTGAGAGCTGGAAATGCACAATTTGCATCGGTTCCAGCACAGAATCTGTGACAGAAGAGGCAATAACTGGGGTGGATGTTTGTACTGGTAGTGCAGCGGAAGTCAACCCGAAGACAGCGAGGAAATGACCTGCGGAGTCTGTTTTTCTCTCAGCTTCCCTCTTCCTCAGGCGTTGTCTATCTGGAGGGAAAGGGAAACTAAATCCTTGAAAGAGGCGGGTTCATCGCGAGAAGCGAGCTGATCTTTTATGCACTTTTAGTGCTTGCAAATAAATGTAGTGCCTGACCTGGCCAGCCTACCTCTTCCAATACCAGCCACCTCAGTGGACTGGCCAGTGGGGCTGTGGGAGGAATCCAGAGTAAACCTGTGCAACCTCCAAATAGAAAGGACCTGGCCAGGTGATGGAATGGATCTCAGCACCTTCTTGCTGTTAGGCAACAGTGCTAATCACCACACCAAGTGCTGCCATAACTGGAATGTATAATTTCAAAGATGTACTGTATAAAATAGAAACAATATATACCAGATTTGGTGTGATGCTTGACCCTACAAAACTCCATGGTACTTTATCAACTTTGAATGCCTAGATTTGTGGTTCCTGGTTTAAATGCATTCACTCTTTAGATTCAGAAATCAAAGCAATAAGAAGCCAGATCATCAACAGTTTGATCCACGTATGGATTGATGTGTAGTTGTGAAAATGTTGGACTGTTCCTTTATTAGTGTCTAACAGTATGTGTATGAGAGTGATGTAATGTCCATATGTGCATGCTGAAAGTGTTGGGGAGTAACGGAATACATGTACCGCCGTTACGTATTTAAAATACAAAATATGAGTAACTGTATTCCGTTACAGTTACCGTTTAAAAAGGTGGTATTCAGAATACAGTTACTTTGTTGAAATAAATGGATTACACTGCGGTACTTTCCTGTTTCATTTTGTCGCGGGTCAGGACTGTTTGGGTTTTGTTTGACAGCTACGTTCTGTTGTTCCAGGCGGCAGCGTTACGGTTGCCATGGTTACAGGGCGACGCTCTCTCTCTTTCTGCGGCTGTGTGTTTCCTGGGTGAGAGAGCACCTTTTCGTTGTTGTTGTTGTTGTGCTAAGCTAACAGGCAGAATGCTACAAGCATAGCTCTAAAGAATGTAGCATCATGGGCAGTGTAGTCCGTGTTGCAGGGAGAATGGACTGCCATACACGTTATGGGTCTGTGAGCGCGAGGAGGGAGAAAAAGGGGAGTGGAAAGGTACGAGTTGTCATCGAGGAAAAACGGGAGCTGGAAGCATGTAAATATAATAATAACCACTTCAGCCAAGAAGAGTGCCTGACGAGCCCAGTTGTAAGTAAACTATTAAGACTCGACTGTACACCGTGTTAGTGTTTTCCTCCGAAAACAATAAGTTCCGTTGGAGCAGTCTTTCAACGCCTCTCTCTGTCTCTCGCAAAAAAAGTTGACCCACACAACAAAGTAAAGCTATTTTTCAGCTACGAGCCGACAGGGACCCCGCCGTATTAGTCAGAGGTCCCTTTACTACAGTTCGGAGTCGCGGACCTTCAGTAATAGTAATAAATCACACAGCAATAGTACATTCACGTTGTTGTAAAAAGCATGATAATATATTAAGTAATCCAAAGTATTCAGAATACGTTACTGTCATTAAGTAACGTAACGGAATACGTTACAGAATACATATTGGGGCATGTATTCTGTATTCTGTAATGGAATACATTTTAAAAGTAACCTTCCCAACACTGCATGCTGAAAGAGACTGTGCTGGTCTGACCCCCTCCTCCTTTCAGGGTGGAGCCTGCTGGAGTCCGATGGTTGAGACCAGGTCTGAGGAAGTGTAAGTGTGCTTTTAATGTGATTCATGAAAACAAAGCATCACTCATTCACATCTCTGATGTCAGGACTCATGATCAAAGTGTCAATCAATGAACAGGTGATGGATCAATAACTGTAGCTGGATTGTGTTTGTTCTCTCCATCAGATTCCTGTCAACTCACAATCAACACAAACACAGTACACACAAACCTCAAATTGTCTGACAAAAACAGGAAGGTGAAATGTGTGGAGAAGGTTCAGTCATATCCTGATCATCCAGACAGATTTGATGTTTATGAGCAGTTGCTGTGTAGAAATGGTCTGACTGGTCGCTGTTACTGGGAGGTCGAGTGGAGAATAACAGTTATTATATCAGTGAGTTACAGCAAAATCAGAAGGAAAGGACTCAGTTATGACTGTTTGTTTGGAAACAATGATCAGTCCTGGAGTCTGTACTGCACTGATGATGGTCCTCATTATGTCTGTCACAATAAGAAAGAGACATCCATCTCCTCCTCATCCTCCTCTGTCTCTAACAGAGTAGCAGTGTATCTGGACTGTCCTGCTGGCACTCTGTCCTTCTACAGAGTCTCCTCTGACACTCTGATCCACCTCCACACCTTCAACACCACATTCACTGAAACTCTTTATGCTGGGTTTTGGGTCTGGTCTCCTGGTTCGTCAGTCACTCTGTGCTGAGTGGAGTGTAAAGAGTGTCCTCCTGTTAGAGAAACACTCTGACCATTGAACAGTCTCTACATGTCTGTCTCCTTCACTCAGAAACATGTTGTCAAATTCTTGGATTCAATCAGTTGACGTATAAAACTGTTCTAAATGATTCCTTGTAAACATCTTCAACTCAGCAAGGTCCACTTACATGTTCATGACCAGCTGATGTGATTGACATCAGTCACTATGGTAATTTGCCTGGTAAAAAGAGCCAGTGCTGCCATGTAGCCATCCTGCCTCACTGACAGGCTTTTGGACTGTTCCAATTAAACTATCAGTTCCCTAACATCACAATGTGTGGCTGTTATGCATGTCAAAGTGATGTCATTTTAGGCTTAAATGTCCAAGTTGCTCAGTCACATTCATTACCATAGTGTAACATTACTCAGCTAATCAGAAAGGAAAAGCTAAACATGTCTATGGCCTTCACATTACTCAGTCTGAAGCAGGTCTCTGATCCAGATTAAATCCAAGGTATAGATATAGTGCTGCTATGACTGAATCTTCTTTGTTCTTATTTGCTTTTTCTTTGTTGTATTTCAAATCCCAGGAAGAGATGCCTTGGAAGTGGAAGTATTGCCCTGTTAGGGCTATTTAAGCATTACAGGCTAAAACATTGGATTTTTGCAGCAACCAAAGTATTTCCTTGTTTACAGATACGCCAGTTCTGTTTTGCTGTATGTCATGTGGGTTTGCTGTTCTTGTTCGGAGACTGTCTGTTGTACCCACCTGTGTACTGCACACTTCAAAGTACAACATAAAGTCAGGTGCCCTTATAAAGGCTGTAAGTTTGAAAGCTGAATCTGCTGCACCGAACAAAACAGACTAGGAACACAACTGGAAGAGATACAGAGACTGATTTTCATATAGCACTTTTCTACTCTTCTGGAGTACTCAAAGCACTTAATACAGCATGCCACATCCTTCTATGATTTTTAAGTACCGTACTTACTAACTAACATTCCCACCCTGATGGATGCATCAGAGAGCAATGTAAAGTAAATATTTTGCCCAAGGACATTTAGCATGCAGACTAGGAATCAAACCATCAACCTTACAACCAGTAAATGACCTGCTCTACCTCCTGAGCTAAAACCACCATGAAGTGATTGGTTGTGACCTAAGTAACGACAGAGATGGTGCACAAGAGCAAATGCTGATAATATGGAGGGGTGCCCTCAGGCCTCTGGGTCTGAAGCTCGGTCCTCTCTGGCACAGCTGGCTGCCGGCAGAGCCTGCGGGCACGCCACTGCAACCCCCTCTGGCCTCTGCTCCATAGCTGCTGGGTGACCTCTCGTTTGGGGCTCTACTCAGCTCTTCCCAGGAGGGTGGCACGGTTCCCCCCCCTTTTGGTGGTCCTCCTCGGGTCCTCGTACTCTGGGGCCTCTGGATATCTGGGGCCTGGATCTCCTCGATACCTGCTTCATGCCCTGGGGACGGGGCTATGGCTCCCTACACTCTCTAGCAGATCGTTACATGGAGAAACCTTTGGAATACAAGCATGCTGATCCACACAGGTATGCACACAGGTGTACACACGGGTGTTCACAGACGCGGACTACACCTTTCTTGGCTGCTGCCTCAAAACACACTGTGTCCTGTCTATCTTGCGTGCTGCACAATATTGTTTAATATTCAGTATCTACTGTTATCTACTGCTAGATAGTTTATTGTGATAGTGCTGTATTTATTATGTTGCTTTTTTTTTTGTTTGCTTTCTCTTCTGTATTTTTTCTCCATACAGGTGATCCAGGTGTTTTTTGTTTGGTTTTTTTTTTTTCTTACTTCCCCCTTTTCTCACCGTCTCTTCTCCCCTCTGGTTTTCTTTCTCTCCCTCTCTCTTTCATTTTTTCTCCCTGTCCTATCCCCCAGTCATGTCTGTCCCGTTTGTAGCAACCGAAAATGAAATAAATACATAATTATAATAAAGGTCAATCAAAGGGACCAATATGGCAAGGCCATGATGATCCACTTGGTAAAATAAATCCACTTGGCATCTTTCTTGGCCTTAAGACAACAATTCTGATGGCTAAAGATCCAAACGGGGCACAAAAAAGAAAAAAAAAAGATAATATGGAGGAATTGCCTCTTCTTTCTCCTTTGGTTTCATGTTTTCTCCTGGATTTTTCCAAGGATCAGATTTGTAGATAAAATGTGGAATGTACAACACACAATACAGAAAAAGCTTTAATAAAACTGATTCTTCCAAAATGTACCTTAAATTCAAAAAGTACTAAAGAGATAACAGTAATGAGCACACACTCAAACAGCAGTAATGATGACTAAGAAGTTCTTCAAATGACACTGTAACTGTATTTAACAGGAACATGGTCATTGAAAGCAACACACTTGATGAAATAGTCACATGATGTTCATCTGTCTCAGCTGAAATGTTTAAAATTTGTTCCAATGTGTTAAATTGACTGAATATTTATGGAATGAAGCTTCCAGTGAAAAGTGAATCAGTGTAGGTCAATGACTGCATCGTGTGTATGATTGCAAACAAAAAATTGAAAGAATTTCAAGAAGACAGTACAAAAAATATATTTGAGCAGTGAAACAGACAGCAGGTAGATGTGTGATGTTTCCCTGTGGTCTGCAGGTCCAGGCCCAGAGTGATGGATCTACATCAGACAACTGAAGTAAATTCAGTTGTTAGCAGCACAGAAATAACCACAAAGCATAAAAACGTAGAACGCCTAGCACGCAGCAGCTACAAGCATCTTGTGTACATTTACTCAGCATGATAGCAACAACCTGAACTATATTTATGATACACTATTTCAGACCATTCAGCTCCTTACCAAAGACTGTGTGTCACATCCTTCTCTCCTGTCCACCTCACAGACTGTCTGCTCAGCTAACCTGAAATATCATCTGGACGAACTGTTACAGTGAAGCCTGAACACAGAGTGAGTGGAGCTCTGCAGCCAGATGTGTACAGCTGTTTCACTGAGTGAAACTCACTGGCAGCAACATAAACACATTTTTTAAAATTATGTTTACTCAATAGGCTAATAAACAATTTGATCTTTTTCTTAGGATTGATGCATGCTTCCCATCCCAGAAGTGATGTGATACTGTCCAACAGATTAATGAGACAGCAGAGCAGATGCTTGAGGACATGCCTTTGAATCCTCTGGTTTAAAATATTTCAAGCAAGATAATATATTAAGTAATCCAAAGTATTCAGAATACGTTACTGTCATTGAGTAACGTAACGGAATACGTTACAGAATACATATTGGGGCATGTATTCTGTATTCTGTAATGGAATACATTTTAAAAGTAACCTTCCCAACACTGCATGCCGAAAGAGACTGTGCTGGTCTGACCCCCCTCCTCCTTTCAGGGTGGAGCCTGCTGGAGTCCGATGGTTGAGACCAGGTCTGAGGAAGTGTAAGTGTGCTTTTAATGTGATTCATGAAAACAAAGCATCACTCATTCACATCTCTGATGTCAGGACTCATGATCAAAGTGTCAATCAATGAACAGATGATGGATCAATAACTGCAGCTGGATTGTGTTTGCTCTGGTTTAAAATATTTCTTCAACATTCTATAATCCAGTGACAGTTGTCAGTATTTCCACTAATGCACAACAAACAATAACTTCTGATAATTCATTCGGCAAATTTTATTTTTCAAATTGTAAACAAATACAGTTTAAAACAGCGTTTCTATTGCTGCCACAGTGTAACTCAGTTTAGCAGCAACCTGAAGTGTCCATCGCAGTGACCAATCACATTAGGATGCCACCCTCTTGGCCACCCCCCCCCCCCCCCCCCCCCCCCCCCCCGGCTTCTGCTCCGCGGCTGCTGAGTGAGCCCTCATCTGGGACTCTCCTCAGCTCTTTCTGGGACAGTGGCGCAGCTGCCCCTCTGTTGGTCTTCCTTGATCTCTTGTGTTCTGGGGGCCTCTGAATGTCTGGAGTTTTGATCTCCTCCATACCTGCTTGATGCCCTGGAGGACGGGGCAGTGGCCCCCCCACACCCTCTAGCAGATCATTACATGAAGGAACCTTTTAAAAAAACAAGCGTGTCCATGCTCACAGGTGTACACACTATGGAATGCCAGGACTGCCATAATGAATTAATTAAATACACCATTAAATAATTAATTAAATGTGTCAATAATTAATTAAAATTGGAATTAATTAAATAAATAAATAGTTATGACACATGTAATTAATTAATTATTGACACATTTAATTAATTATTTATGTATTTCACATTTTAATTAATTATTGACACATTTAATTACTTATTGACAAATTTAATTAATTATTTAATGATATATTTATTTATTTCATTTTGGCAGTCTTGGCGCCTGGCTCTCATCATGAAATAATTTTATCTGTCAGCCTCACCCATCAAACTCAGGGGCGGGGTTAACGCTGATCGAGTCAAAACCATTGCTTTGGCCTGGTGGCCATTGTTTCTAGCACACAACAACCGGCATGTGGAAGCTAACAAAACTGAACTTTGAAAAACCCTCTTTGTGTGTCACAAAATACCGTTTTAATATTTTTTAGCCGAGAATGTAGTGGTTTAATCTTCATGTGTCTGGTCGGTTTGTCAAGATACAGCCTCTTTGCAAAAGTGCTTCGATGATTTCGGAGATGTCTGCCCAGTCTCACGGCAAAGCGTGGGATAGACCCGCTCGCCTCGCAAGCAATCCCACCGACAAAGCGCAGGCCCCGGTACACAGCTGTAGTAACCCCCGCTGACTTCTTTTACTGAGGTTATATTTATCGGTGTTTTATTTCCTGAAGTTCTTATGTGTCCTACGTGTTTCAGTCGCCAATTCTGAATTATAACTAACATTAAAAAATGTTTACGGAGGAGAGAGAGCAAATAAATCTGTTTAACATCTGATCTTTGGGTTTTTGTTCAGTAATCAGCGTGACCTGTGTATAAACGCATAAAAGAGATAACGTTGGTGTTTCTGTCATGTAGTAACTGCTGGTTT